TGTATGATCGAAAAAAAGGCGTCTTGTTTGTTGGAAATGACAATTTCACAAAATGAAAATTAGAATGCATTATTCATTGAATCCGTAGGCAAGTGTAAAGGGAATTGCGTGATTCATGTAATATGGGTGAAGCCCAGTATAATCTCCGAAAAAAAGCGACGGTCCATGTTGGCTTGTAATTTATCGATCGATGAATATTCCCCATATAATTATATGAGTACGCAGTAAACACATAGAATTACATAAACTTATAGTTATGGAGCCGGCCGAACCGAGTGAGATCGAAAAGAAGACGGCGTCAGCCGATAAGCTAATGAAATGAAAGAACTCGCTAGCTATGGAAGATGAGATAGCGCTTTTATTCATTTTATATGTCAAAATTATATGGGGAATGTTCGTCCAGGATCGTCATTTCTTACAAGCCAACTGGACGTCGTATTTTTTTCGACCATACGGTAATGATAATGAATCTAGCCATTCCCCTTCACATTTGCGTACGGATTCAATGAATATGTAATTTATAATATTTCGCTAACAAGAAAAAAAAAAAAAAAAAAAAAAAAAAAACAAAAATAAACAATTCTAGAAAGCTTTGTGTCTATTTGTATTTATTTTAATTTTTATTATTATTAGTTATAATAAGTGTAGTAAACAATATATAGGTTACGTGCTTGAAAGAAATTTTTATAAAAATATATGTGTAACAAGTAGCCCACTACAAGTTTAAATCTTGGCAGGTAAAATTTAAGTTTTTTCTTATATTACAACTATACATATAGATTTTTTATCTACTAGAATTTTTTTTTTTTTTATAGTTTACAATTATATTACATATTGATAATAATCTAACAGTTTTACATGTAAAAATATAAAAAAATGTAAATTGTTTTTTTTTTATATTTTTTTTCTATTCACCCCATTTCACGGTACGCCACTGGAGAAATCCTATGCTGAGTAAGCATTAATTATAGTTTCCAACATTAATTATAATAATAGGATATTGAAAATACTACTTGGAATTATTAAAAATAGTTTTGGGTTTGGAAGTGGTATAAAACAATAAAAGCAATTCTTAACATATTTTTCTGCTATATATAATAGAAAATGTGTATCATTTTATGACACATAAAAGCAAAAGTTGTGTATCGATTTTTATCTGTGAAATGTAATTCCAACCACTTTTTTCTCGCTTCGGCCTTTGCAGCCCTACGCTGAACATCTCGCACATAATAAATATAATAGTTATAAAAAAACTAAAAAAAAAAAAAAAAAAAAATCATAAAAATTTCTCAGTGTCACCTCGAAGTCTTGTCACCAAAGTATGACCGCCGATCGAATTTTGGCTTCCACCGATGAGATTGAAGTGGGAGAATGAGCTTCGACGATTGCGCATCCAAATTTTTGTCGACGGCAAAATGGCAGACATCTTCCAGGTCCCGCTGTCACTTCCCCTCTTAATTGACATCTGTTTGTTTTGTTTTTTTTTTTCGTTTGTGTTGTTTATCTAGTTAAAATTTATTATTTATCTCAATTATTCTAAACACTAATTCAAAGGCTTGTGTATATTTCATATCATTCTAATAAAGCTAATACGCCGGGAAAATTGATTAGTTTTCATGTGTTATAAGTTTATACAACATAATCGTGTTTACAGATGATCCAAAACTGTTTATTTTTAGTTTTCCTAAAGGCGATTTGTAAAAATCGTGATTGTAATTGGGAATGGTCAAAAACCAAGTGTGATGTGGCCATTGGAAGAGGATGTTTTTATTACATGTGGAGGAAGAAGATACTTGGAATCAATGTTCGTGCTTCTGTAAAACAGTGCACTCTTATAGTGTCTATGAAAGCATAAGTTCAAGTGTATCAGAAATATGTCAAATATTGTATCACTCAGGCAAACAGATCGGTCCTTACTTGACAAGAAGATTATTTGGAGGCAAAGAAAACATAAGATAGGGTATTTTAATCGAACAACGAAAATTTTACATTTTTATTGTAAAGTTTGTTGAGGCAGTTGTAGTTTGTGGCTAAATTTTTCTAACATTAGCAAGCAGCAAGTGGTTCAGAGTGTCAAGAGAGAAGAATTCAGTTATTTAGATTTATGCACAGTTACAGGTATGAAGGCTTTTTTTCGAGTTCTAAATCAACATTTTAGTATTCCTACAACTTGTAAAAACAAGGAACATTGGACTGAAAAATTGGCAAGATTTATATAGGAAAAACGGGTATTATGCAATAGAAATTAATCTGTAGGCAGAAGTTTTCTTATTATAAAACTGTTATGGGGCATATATATTAATTCGTATCTGTGCCAAAAATCACTTGAAGAAAAAATACATATGATATCCAATAATTGTTAACAAGATGATATTTAAAGAGTGTTAAAATGAGACTATTA